TTCCATCTCATACTAAACACCCAAATGGTGGGTGCAAAAATAGAACTTAGTTATCTCTGAGAATTCTTGTCTTTCGGCAGTCTGTGACTGATAGTACATGCTTCTGCATAAGGGCTCCTTCCTAGGTTGCTGTTTATCTTCTTGTATCTGGCTACTAGTTTCTTAGCATTGCAGAGAATGGGTAAGTGATGGATGGTGAGGAAGGATGGGTGAATGGATGGATGGATAGATGGATGGGTAGCAGAGGTGATAGTGGGGAAGAATAGATGGTGGAATAGATGGGTGGATGATATGTAGGTTATATGCAAATACAATACCCTTAGAGACAGATAGATGTAAGGATGGATAGATGGCAGGGAAGAATGAATGGATGGAAAAAACAATGATGTAGATGGTTGTAGATGGCGGGGATGGATGATGAGTAGAGGAACAGATGGAGTGGGATGGATGGATGGATGGATGGATGGGATAGGTAGATGGTGCGGATGAATGGTTGGAAGGTGGGGATGGCTGGATGATGTTGGATAGGATGAGATGCATGAGTTCAAAGTATATACAGTACTCTTTTGAGTAATGTTTGGTCAGATATCAAAGAATCCTCTTCAAGTATCCTGAATTTGAAATGTGCATACAGACAGCCTTCCATATCCATAGGTTCCTTATCTTTGTATTCACACGTGTCAAAAATATTTGGAGGGGGAAAAAGCAATTAAGTGGTCAAAGCAAACCCACAAAAACTAAGAGAGAACATAAAGCCTGTAAAGAAGGAATGTATTTACAGAGCATTTGTGTTGCATTAGTTATAAGTACTTTGGAGATGATTTAAGCTGTATGGTGAGATGTACACAGATTATACACAAATATGGTACCATATGGAACTTTAGTGTTGCTAGCCTGTAAGCATTCAACTGCAAACTGCAAGGCTGGTGTTCACACCTACCACAGGAGGAAGATAAGAGAGATGAGGCTGACTGCTCCCAGTCAGAAATGGCATGGGTGTTGGGGACATCATGGGTCTAAGCACCCTTGGATTTTGATATGGGAGGGGTGTCCATCTGTCCTACAGATACCAAGGAATGGCTATATTTCATAATTCTTCCAAGTTTAAAATTCCAAAATCTCATTCCAACCTACTTAGAGTTCTTCTCTTGTGTGGCAAGTTTTTCAAGTTGCCAAATGATGGCTTCTCAATTAGCTCCTTGAGGTCTGTCATGGTTGTTCCTCCTGAAAAAACATTTAGTCCTCTTGAAATAAGCCACCTAGAAGATTCACCAAGACAAAAATTAATGAAAGTGAAAAAAAACCAGAGGCCGGCGCTGATGATCTGTTTACTGGAGTAAATGTGACCAGACACAACGAGGGGTTTGCAGTTTTCTAACGTGAGTCCCAAATTGTATTGGGGCTCTTACAGCTCTTATAACAATCCAAACATCAATTGTATCGAGCATTTTTGTACATATGATGTTATCACTATTTTCTAAACATTTACTTTCTATTTGAGCCCTTGGTATCAGCTCCTCTTTTTTCTCTCCCTCGCCCGTCCACCCTCATGACCCCTTGATCACTTATTATTTTTATATCTTACTCCTACTGTTTCCCTTCCCCCATGGTTTCTGTTGTTCGTCCCCCTTGTGTGTGTGTGTGTGTGTGTGTGTGTTTACCAAATATACGATATATACGATACAGGAAGACTGTTTTCCATAAAATGGAGATGAAAAATCAAGGGGTGAAGCAGGGTGAGTTATTTGGAGGCGGGGTGCTGTTAATAAGTATTTTAAGTTGTTGAATACAAACTTGGCTATCTGAAATTGAAACCATTAATTCACAATGCAAAGCTATCATCATATACATATCAACAGATAACTGTACTACTGGGCACTGGGGTTCGCTACCGGCCAGGAGAGGCATCACTGGCAGCTGGATGGAGAAGATGTCCTGCTTCCAGTGGCTCCCAAGGCTGGAATCCGTTTCTTCTGCGCGCGACTGCCTCCTCTTGTGGCTTTTCCTTCTCGTGTTGAAATCTTTCCTTCTCACTGTGAAACCGGAGCGGGAGAGAGAGATTGGGATGACTTCCCCTGGCTGGTGTGCAGAGATAACGGGCCCCCTAAGCTCACCCAGGTAGGCTGCTCTTTAAGCTGCTGCCCCTTCCCAACATCCAGACGACGTCCCAGCCATCGAGAATAGACGGCTCTTGGGTGGATGTAGGAGTATCCTGAGCCCCCGAGTCTCCTGGTACCCAAGAATAGGAAACAAAGGTTGCTAAGATGACATAAATTCCAAAAAGAAAAGATGATGCAAATTCCCCAAGGTGCGGAGGGTTCTCAGAGCAGCCCTTCGCCAGTCTGCCTGAGTTTGGACTTTGAGGTTGAACAACCCGAGTGGCAGAGCTCCTGTAGCCCTTTCTGGGGTGTGATCCTGGGAAACGTCTTCACTAGGTTGAGTCGCAGCTATTTTATCTGTTGAACAAGGGCAACAACACCTCGCTTTCAGAGTGGGGGAGAAGAGTAAACGAACAAAAGTTCCAAAAAAGCTTAGCTTGGTGCCAAAAAGATCATTAAAATCCTGAGTTACTGATCCACTGACAGAAGGACTGATGGCAGAGACTAGAGACCCCAGACACAGATCCACACACATGGAGTAACCTAACATATGGCCTGGTGGCATTTAGAGACTGTGAGAAGGGGGACCCGGCCAACGCACTGTATTAACTCTCCGCGTGGAAACAAAAACAATCAGGTTCCCTGGCACTATAGGCAGAACTAATTGTAGGCTGAAGATGGAAAACAAAAACTTTAAAATCACGAGAAGAATACATAGGAGACAGTACTGACATGGAGGAATGAGGAAAGATTTCTTCAACATCACCAAGAGTACAACCTAGAAAGGAACCGTCAAAGCAAATAACGGATGTCACCAGACAAGGCACCATAAATAACGCAGGTTGAAGGCAGTCCGGGATATTTACAATGGACATAACTGACTGCATACTTCTCCAGAAAATACAGAAACACATAATATAAACTGTGGTGTTTTTTTTTAAACAGGCAAAGAATCACGTAGGCAAATAACAGAAAAGGAAATGTGAATGTTCAAGTGAGCGTGAGAAACACTATCCAACTGCACTAGGAGTTAGGAATGCAATGTCTGACCACCAGAGCGTGGGTGACCACGTGGAGGAGCGGGGCTTCTCCCGCTGCGGGGACGAGGGTGAATGGGTACCATCTGGAGAATGCCTGGCCACTGGACAGAACTCAGTTAGCTAGATGGCCACATCTAGCAATGGTATGACAGTACATCTCCGGTACTCAACAATTCCACAGAGTAAATCCCTAGAGGCACTCACTTGTGCACACAGACATGTGCAAGGATACTCACTGAAGCACTGTGGTGAGGCGGCAATACTGGAGAGGAGTCAAATGCTGCTCAACGAGGGACAACATGGAAGAAGAATGCTTCAGACATGAAAACAAAGCTGGCCCTGCACGCACTGATCCATCTCAGAAGTAAAGTGGAATGTAAAGA